AAGACAAAGAAAAACAAAATGTGGCAAATCAGCACAGGCTCCCTTACGTCACTGCAAGACCAATAAAGTATATGAGCACAGGCAACTTGGCCAACTTGGTAGCTCAAAAAGCTAAATATATTATCCAATTTGCCTCATCCACTAGTAATATAGATGAAAATGAAGTCATCTGTGAAGGAATTGCTTTTGTACACCTAGTAATTTATATAGGTACAAGAAAAACTTCGACAGTCTCAGCATTATGTCTTTAAAATGGGGGATATCAGAAAACTGTACAGCGATAGATTAGCAGAACTTCTAGGACTTCAAAATGTGCCTTGCGAAAAAACAACTTTCCCAAGAGAAAAAAATTTCTTTTGCTGCCAAATAATTCTAATTCTAATTGCTTTATTATACAGTAGAGTTTTAAGTATCTATATTATACCTACATATTGAAAGCCGCCATATTTAAAATGACCTCCAAAATTAAAACGGAAGGCTCTACGTTTTGCTATAGCTCTGTTCCAACCGACATGAGAACCGTTCCAGAACCAGTAATTTCCAGTTGCCCACATACCTATTTTTCAATAACTTGAACGCAATGATTTGAACGTTCGTCCTACTTGGCAAATGAATTGATCGACTGATAGCGGTTTCCATTTGTCGAACCAGTGCAAAAGAATGTATCCTTATCCTTACATGTCCTTTCTCGCTTTTCATCTTCCTCTTTGCCTATTATGTTAATCAAAATTAAATAATATTTTTCATCATAAATTTAAATTCTGAACTATCGTAGTTTAGTGCAAAAAGCTGATGTAGCTAGTGCCAAAAGCTGACGACTTAGTTATGACATCAGAAATAGTTAGGGTGTTCATTTGTCCTGATTTTCTTGCTCCAAGTAGATCTCAGCAGCTGATCGGTGTTCACTTGTCCCATATATAAGCTCATAAATGGCAGCGCCTAACAGATCTTTCTGATTTTCCGAGCCGATAGAGCATGCACAAATGAACAGCCCATTAAACACACCAATATAACAGCGATTACCAGATACGAGGCCGATAAGCAATCCTTATTAGTAATGTGTATTATCCTTGATAAGCTATAAGTGGCGCCTAAAAGCGAAAGGGCAAAATATATGATATTTATATCACACGAAATGGATTCCTCGACCCAAGATAATCAAAATCGAGGTAGGTATCACACAAGTCAAGTTATGGTTGGGTGTCTGGTATTGATTTTTATATATAAAGTTGGCCGCCATCTTGAAAAAGAGCTGCTATGCAACCGCCGGACGCCATTTTCTATCTTTGTAAATTTTTAGCAAGTTTTATTTGAAGTCAAAGATTCCTAATAGTTTTTGTTTTTTTTTTTTGAAAAATGAGCCATTTTACGATACTTCAAAAATGAAGTCGGCCATTTTGAAAAAATGGCGGAAACTCTCTATCCTATGGAGAAATTTTTTTGGGACTCGACTAAAATTATCTCTTAGAATCGCCTTAAGAACGTGGGTGCCAGATTTCATTCTTGTATAACTTAATAGCCACATTTTTGGTTTAGCCGTTATCCTACTATAAGTACTGGTACTGACTCAGAAGCAGGGAGAGACGCTCCGATACTGTGGTATGTTGTCCTTGAAGACCGAAGTGGATCGACGTTGTTGAAACGTTAAAACTTTTATTTGTCACTCATTTGTAAAACGTCACTTATCAAGTCAAAACATAACCAGCGAAAATTGATTTTTACAAGCTACTGGCTCTACTGACTTGTAAAATTGACAGCTAAACTGTAAAAACTTTTTACAAGTCAGTAGAATTATTTATTTTTGAAAAATCGGTTTTATCACAAGAATAATTGCTTGTAGGTACCTTCTGGGAGACTTTTCTGGTGATAAACTGTTGGCTACGACTGAGGCTTCATTAATAATATCTTGTAATAAATTCATTTCTGGAAAAAAATTGCAAAATGGAAATCTGTCAAAAAACCTATTTATAACTAGAAACAACGTCTTAACAACGTATCATTCTCATAGTTATACCAACTACCAAAACTTCTGTGAGAAAAAATCAAGGAAAAACATATAAATTTCAAATTTTTGTTATGTATTGATTTTTTATTTGTCCCTATATCTTTTACAAATGAGTAACAAATAAATTATTGTACATTATACGCCAGGTAGCAGTTTTTACTGGCTCTTGAAGGTGACAAGCTCGCCTGGCGGCTCGCTAGTCATTTCCTTCAATCGCCAGTAAAAACTGTTTTACCTGGCTAATAATGTAAAATACTATATCGTGGTTGACTGGTTGAGTGATTTTTTTCACCTAATTTCTTTCTGCCAGCTTGTTTCAAGGCTAAGGCGCGATTCATATTATACGTACGGGCAGCGCCATAGACGTCACCATACCGTCAACGACACGTCAATAATAATTCTGACAAAAGCAATGGTCGTATTCACACTACACCTTCACAACACCGTCACGCTACCATCCAGAGGCTGACAGGATTTTTCGAGGAGAATATTTGACGTGTCGTTGACGGTACGGTGACGTGACGGTACCGGGTACGTATAGTATAAATTGCGCTTAAGGCCGCGTTAATGGCCGCCATGTTTAAATTTAGTTTTTGAAAATGACGACTGCGTCACTCTACACAAAGGGTTCAATATTTTATTATTTGTCCAAAACAAAATCTGTTTGTCGGTGAAACACTTTTGCCTGTATGCAGTGTATGCACCATTGCACAAATTCTCTGATTAAGACTTTAGCCGTGATTACATAATATTTCACTTAACCTTACTTTTCATGCATCCGTTTTTCCGTCAATCTGATGATCCGGAAGTATTCCTATTGGACCATTATTATGGCACCAAAATATTGGACCAATAGGAAATACTTCCAGATCATCGGATTGACGGAAAAACGGATGCTTTAAAAGTATGCTGAAGAGAAATATGATGTAATCACGGCTAAAGTCTTAATCAGAGAATTTGTGCAATGGTGCATACGGGCATTGTGACAGAGAAAGACAAATATACAATTATGATGCTCCTGTAGCTTTTTTGCCGTGGCGCCATCTACTTGAAATTGCTTGAACTGTTTTCACCTTCAAAATTCGTTTCAAGGTCATCTCAAAAAATCCGCAATAATTTCCAAAATCCTTTGGCATAAACAATGTTTGATATATTATCTACAATCTCTACAATTAGCTTTTTTTAGTTTTTCGTGGTTATCAATAAAATATGCTTTTAGCGGATCGAAGCTGGATAAACATGCAAATATGCAACCACCAACACATTTAATTGTCTTGGTGGTTGCGAACATGATTTTTGATGATTTCTAAATATCGAAAAACCAAAATAAGGAATTGTAGATAATCGATCAAATAATGTTTATGCCAAATTTGAGCCAATTCTGATGTGCCGTTTTTTTAAAGACCTTAAAACGAGTTTCGAAAAATCAACCAATCACAGTTTAAACATGGCGGCCATTAACGCGGCCTTAAAGGTATTCTTTATTTGTATAATAATAATTTCCAGCTTTCTGGTTTTTTCGAACTTTTACCAATAGAGGCCCATCAGTTGTCGAATGAGAAGTACCAAGGTCTATTAGAAATCGCTGCATAAGCATAGCCCTGATTGGTAATTTGCTTCAGATGGTTTGCTACGTCGCTTTGGAAGACCTGTTTGATGAGAGAAAAGCATTGGCTATTGAAGATTGAAGTTTTCAGCGTGGGCGAAGCTGGAAGGTGGTTAAAAATATTCAAAGGAAGAGCTATTTGGCGAAGTGGACTCTCAGACTCCCAAGTAAGTTCGAAAAACCATTCAAAGTATGACAGGAAAGTAACGCCTCACGTAATAAGAATAGGCTGTCTGGTACATATACAGACGGCTCCAAAACAGCGGATGAATGCGATGAAGCTAACGCTGGCGTGTATGGAGAAAGTCCAATATCAGAGCAAAGCATCCCTCTGTGGCTCACCGCCACAGTTTACCAGGTAGAAATTCATTAAATTCAAGCATGCGCACAGGAGATTCTAAGGCTGTAATGGGTTATAACAACAAGAACATATAGGCATTCTTTCAGTCAGGCTGCTCTTAAAGCTCTAAACTCACATCGATTTACTTCGAACGATAACAATGGAATGCCTACACGACCTGTCGTCAAGGAATAACAGGGTAAAGCTCCTGTGGGGATTCGGTAATAGAAGGCAACAATAAAAAGGATGACGAACTGATTCAATCAGACATCAAAGATAAACTAAATCATCAATCACGTTTTCTGCGAGAAAAAATCTCATCATTTGCCATAAGAACTCATGTAACAGAGTTCATTATCTGCCGGGTCAATTCAATCTAATTGCATTGTTTCTAAGGATGTCTATGCCCGCTCAAAAACCAAATTATTGAAGTTCTCTCATCATTGACAACAGTTTGAGGAAAAAGGTATGCACTATAGAAGATCCAGGTAAAGCTGCAATTGTAGAGATTTTTTTCGAATTAAGAAAGCTAGGGAATTGAAGAAAAACTATATTCCAAGATTGAGTGCGAACAAAGAACCTCCAACAAGCATCAATAATCCCCAGGAATTGATTCGGTAAAAGACTTTTACTCTGAAAGATGCCTCCAAATCTCCAAATGCATTGGTTTGAGTAAAATCTTTCACCTTAGAAGATAGCTCTATTAAACTTACTGAAACCTTTTGATTTTTGACAAATTTAAAGATTCCAAATCATGCTTAATTTTTTTGTTATTTTTTAACATACAAATAGAATAGAAGAGGTACCCATACATGCTAAAACTAAAGTATACAAGATAATATCTGTTCATCCTAAAACAATTATTTTATTTGTAGCAAAATAAAATTTATATGAAACGGGCGGGCGTTATTAGCTAAGTAATCTGATTGTCAATAACGGTTATTTTGTCCCCCAAAATTATGAATTTTGAATTAAATTTAAATTATCAAGCTCCATAGGTTTTTCAATCTTTTATCTTATCGCAGCGCGAAGTATGAAAACAGTTGAAACAATAAGATAACATTTAGTTGAAAATATCGCTCAAATCACATACAACTCATTATTATAAATGCAAGTAAAAAGTTTTACTCAATGATTGTATTACCCTTATTACTAACCACTCTAGTGTTAAGATCAACAGTCGCTGTAAAAGAAAAAGATGTGAACTTACCCGATCATCGGTGCGAATTTATGCTCAGGGACCGTGCCGTGCAAAATGGAGTACGCTTAATCACTGAAGGTGTTGTCAGCAAGAATGGTGTGAGATTGGGCGAAGTGGAAAACACGCTACTCCCACTAGCACGGCACCATATCATTCCCTACAACATTATCTCCGACTTTCTACAAGCGGCAATTGATAGAGCCCAAGAGTGGATGCCTACTGAAGAAATTGGTGAAGCTTTCTCTTTTGGCCAATACTTGGATACTTTGGTAAGAGAAACGTTACCTATCATCGCCAGGGATCGAAGTAGTAGGGTAGTATTAGAAGCAGCTAAACGAGCTGCTTTAATAACTACTGAGTTGGTTGAGCATAAGTTTGATAGTACAGATGCAGAGAAACCCGAACTAGCAATAGTACGAGCATTTTTTTATTGGTTACCTGGTAACATAGTAATGGGTCCTTCTCCAATGGAACGGAGAGATGATCCTGAAGATGGTCCTGATTACCGACTCATTATGATTGCTCAGGAAAACAGTGGCGAACGTGCTGGAGATGTTCTCAGAGTTCTCTATCATCACATGGTTGCCTACAGGGATCGAACTGAACATCATGATCTTTTAGATGGAACTTTTAGAGCAACGACCCTACATCGTATAGTGGAGCTACTAACAGAAGTTAGCACAACATCAGTTTATCCTTTTAGCTCTAATGATTGGGAGTCGATAATGGATCCAGATACTAATACTACTAGATATAGAGCAAGAGACACTTCGATTGCACATAAAAATGACCTCCGCAAGGGAAGAGTCAATTATGCCATCGATAATTGTGATGGAGATGATAAGTTCAAGTTTGATCTTTTTGATATTATTGCTAACTATATAGTTCCAAATCACCCTGAGTTGGTGATTAGGCCCAAGCCGTAAGATAGAGGATACCGTTTTCACGTCTGTTTTATACAGAACTCATATCTTATAATGTCTGCTTATTAATTAATAATAATAAAAAACAGTAGAAGTTATTAAAACAAAATTATTTATTATTTTCATAAATAAAATATTATAATTAGTACTTAATAACACTGAACATATTGGTTTTACTCTTGGCAGTGTACCTTTAATTATTAGCTCAAATTAAGCGCTTGGAAAAAGTTACTTGGCTAAAAAAAGCTTGGAACATGAAAAAATACCTTAATTTACTATTTATTAATCGCTAAGATGAATCACCGTTGGTCGTTAACCTAAATAATGGAAAAACATAATAGAAGTCAATTTTTTCAGCACCTTATACTTATCACGACTCTTAAAACCTATTTAGTATTGTACAAAAATGGCACATAGATAACAGAGATAGAGCAACCTACTTTTTTACATAATTACATACAATTTTTTCCTCGTTTCGTACATTTAAAGGAAAATTATGGACAAATTTTCTATACTAAACTTTGTGTGCAAATTTATCCAAAATCTTCGTAGCAGGTTAAATAACTATACCTAATTAAATTATGTACAATTTTTACTTGTAGCTTAGAAGCCAAAATCAAATTTCCCTAAAATTTAACCACCCTTCAGCCTTGCTGCGGTTTCCTAGAGTAATTTTGCGCATAAGATTGCGGCCTACGTCTTCTAGCCACGAGCCTATCTCTATAGTTCAAGTTCCTATATTGGGGATTGTAAGGAGAAGATTGTGGATTATAAGGAGAAGGTTGGAAATTGTAAGTTGCAGGTCTGGGACTGTAAGGGTTGTAAGGCGCAGGCGGCTTCGGCTGATATTGCCTGTTGATTTGGGCTGGAGGCGGTGTAACATCTGGCCTAGAGGGTCTGGAATAAGACACAACATTCAATTTATAGATAATTGAGCAGTAAATTGTACGTACACTCTTCTAAGACAGACAGCGCATCGACTAATCTTGGTAGTCAAGAATCCAGACTTCAAGGTTTGTGGCACTGGTTTTTTGAATTGAGAATATTCCTCGATTGTAGCTATCCAGAAGGATAACGCTGTAGTGTAGTGATTGCACCTGCCATGGGCGTGACATTCGATAAACGGTTTAGTCCTGAAATCTTCCAGACACGATCCAGGTGAAACTAAAGATTGAGTTGAGCCATCACCGCCAGCATCGGTACCCTAAATCCCAATAAAAATGTGTCCATTGATCAATTATTGCCTATACTTACCATCATGAAACTCCATCCGATCCATAACTCGTCCCAACCAACAGGGCATTGCGGAACAGTGCTGGCTTGACTGTGAATTGCTATAGCTCTAGTGGGTGCTTCACATACAGAACACCTAAATATAACAATAATTAAATGAATTTGATGCGATTTTGAAAAAGCAATAACACATACCTAGAAATATACTTCTGGATATCATTACCATAAATAGGAGTCATGGTCATTGGTACAGGTTCAGTAGTTGACAACCAATAGCTGTAGTCATTGGTGTTGGCATAGTCGCACACGTCATTTAAATTACAAAACACGAAAGGCATCGTGTTGAAGCGTCTCACACAACTTCCTGGGTTACCTAAATCTTGCCCGTGAGTGTCTTTTTCACTTTGAATGTGCAACAACGAAAATCCTTCCCACAATTTGACGGTATTCCTTGGACAAACTGGAATTATTTCCGACTGTGAATGTCTCACGACAGCAAATCCTCGGCTTTTTGGTAAGGGCGCGGGTTCTGCGGGTTCTCCTTTCGGACCTTGCGGTCCTGGTAGACCTGGTAAACCGTTACGACCTGGAATACCCAACGATCCGGGTAGACCTTTCAATCCTGGATAACCCAACAAGCCTGTGTCTCCGGTGTCGCCTCTCATACCTTTGGCTCCTGCTGCACCTGGATAACCATCTCGGCCATCTAAACCTGGTTTACCTGACATACCAGCCAGGCCAGGAAGTCCTTCATCTCCTGGCTAAATACAAGAAAATTACATATTCGACTGCTTTTGAAAATTGAAATTTTTTGTACCTCTCCTGGGAAGCCATTAAATCCTGTATCACCAGCATCACCTTCTAATCCTGGCGCACCAGGAATACCAGGGAATCCAGGCAAACCAATATCACCAGAAAGACCTATTTGTCCTGAATAACCTTGTTCACCTGGATAACCTTCAAGACCTGCATCTCCTTGTTCGCCTTTTTGTCCGTCACGACCTCTAAGACCTTAAAAAAAACTTTTAAAAAAGCCTAAATTTTTTCAAAAACTCTCACCCTTGAATCCGACATCTCCACGGACTCCCTTAAAACTGCTAGCAGCAAATCCAAAATCACCCGTCACACCCTTGACACCTGCGATACCGGGCAAACCGTCACGACCTGATGGACCTTCCGGTCCAAATGGACCTTGTTCTCCATCAAATCCACTGTCACCTTGTACTCCTTTGACTCCTTGAATAGAAAGTCCGGGCTGCCCTCTAGGCCCATTGAAACCGTCTTGACCTGCTTCACCCGGAGCCCCTTTCTGTCCTAGCCTTCCTGGCGGTCCAGGAAGACCATCTTCTCCTGGTGTTCCAGCATCGCCGCCTTCAGGATTTTGACCGGGCAATCCTGGGGCTCCTGGAAAACCGGCGTCACCGCGTTCACCTGGCAAACCTGTCAAGCCAGCGTCACCTCTTAAGCCTGCTTCACCTATTCGGCCTCTTTCTCCTCTCGCTCCTGGCCAACCTGCTACTCCTACATCTCCAACAGCTCCCTTCCGACCTAAAAAAGGTTATATTTGAAGATTTCTGTGTGCCACCAAGGTGTTTAAATATACGCTAAAATCTGCTAATACCGAAAAAATGTATTATATATATGTAAATAAAAGTTAATTTGAAAAAGTATCCACTGCAGTTCAAATAGTAATTATAACACAGGGCACCAACGTACCTGTTAATCCAAACATTCCAATTTCACCAGCATCTCCCTTTTCAGCAAATCCGGGCAAAGTTATACCAGGCAAACCTCTGTTACCCTTAAAACCTTTAGGACCCCATGGACCTCTCGGTCCAGCATCACCAATAGGCCCAGGCATACCAGGTAAACCTATTAGTCCAGGCTCTCCGCTCATGCCCGATCCTCCTTTAGCTCCCGAATATCCGGGAAGACCGATTTCACCGCGGTTTCCCCGTAAGCCTTCTAAGCCTGCATATCCAGGCTTTCCTGGTGCTCCAACTCTGCCTAGGGAACCTGTGAATCCTTTTGGACCGGGAATACCTGCTTCACCTGGTTCGCCTTTGAAACCGAAACCTCCTGGTCGACCGTCAAGACCTCTGTCACCTTTTGGACCTACAATACCTGGTTGTCCTATTCCTGGTATACCGACATCACCTTGTTTTCCTATATAACAAAAATAAATATATAATACTGGAATTGATTGAGCCAATACTTTGATTTACAACCATGTATTGCAACATATTTGTTATGCCACTAAGAACTTCTTTCATTATTCTCAGCCATTTTTGTATCTATAGTTACCTTTAAGTCCTGGTAATCCAGGTCTTCCATCGAATCCACTCACTCCAGGTAATCCAGCATCTCCTCTATCACCCGTTTGTCCGCTAAAAGTCGACTCTCCTTTTTGACCGTCGAATCCAGGTATTCCAGGGTTTCCCATCGGACCTGGCTTTCCCGGTTCGCCTTGCGGGCCAACGTATCCGTCGGGTCCAGCATCACCTCGTCCACCTTTATGTCCTCTGGGTCCGAGTAGTCCTTTGGGTCCTGGAAAACCAGGAAGTCCAGCGTCTCCAATGTCACCGCGGTCACCAAACTGTCCAGTGACACCTGGTAAGCCTTCGGGACCGTCAAAACCTGGCAATCCTGGAAGTCCTTCCTCGCCAGGTAATCCTGGGAAACCGGTTTCGCCGAGATCTCCTTTAACTCCTTGGAGGCCGAAGTAACCATTTTCACCGTCATCTCCCTTCTGTCCTAGATCTCCCCATTCTCCAGGTCTACCGACAGGGCCTGGAAGTCCCGGAAGTCCTGGCGGTCCTGGATAGTAAGCTCCTATTTGACCTTTCACGCCTTGAGCTCCTGTTTGTCCTGCATAACCTGGGGCACCTTTGGTTCCTTTAATGCCTTTGTATCCCGGGGTGCCAGGCAATCCTGGATATCCTGGCGGTCCTTCGTCACCATATTCTCCTTTCTGTCCAGGTGGACCCATCAAACCCATGTCACCGAATAATACTTTTTGACCAGGTTCTCCGCGATCTCCTTTGAGTCCTGAAACTCCAGGAGTTCCGTCTATACCAGGGAAACCGGGATTTCCAGGTGTGCCTCTCGGTCCTTCATCTCCGATGATACCTGGATGGCCAGTTACTCCATCAGGGCCTGGCAGAGATCGTCCCGGTAAGCCTCTGTCTCCAGGTAATCCAGGCCAACCTGGGTCTCCACGTGGGCCCTTTGGTGCTTGAGGTGCGTTAGGTCCTGGATCACCGGGAAGTCCTTTTATACCTTTTTCACCTGCTCTATCAATGTAATTGCCAATTATTCCAGGAATACCTCTCGGACCTGTGGGCCCCTTTTCACCTTTGTGCCCCTTGAATCCACTGAAACCTCTATCTCCAACTAAAAATTCTTTAGGTATGGTATGACGGTCACCTTTTTCACCTATAAGACCGGGTATTCCTGCGGTTCCGTCTCGTCCAGGAATACCATCGTTTCCAACATCACCTTGGGGTCCGGCATATCCTCTCGGACCACTGTCGCCTGGGGGACCCTTAAAGCCTGGCTCCCCAGCAGGTCCTTCGAGGCCTGGTAATCCTGCATCTCCTTTGTCACCCATATCTGCGACCATAGCAGCTCCTGGAGGCAGTACAATTCTACCAGGTTCACCTGAAGGTCCCGGACGACCCATTAGACCGTTTTGACCAGGTGTACCGTCTAAGCCGTCGATACCAGGGAAACCAGGTTTACCAGAAAATCCTGTTTTGCCTCTTTCACCAGATAGACCTATAAAGCCGATAGGGCCGGGACGACCGTTTCTACCAGGTTCTCCAAGGTCTCCTTTGACTCCATTACGTCCTGGTCTGCACACGCCACAATCATCTCCTTTACGACCTTTCGTACCTGGAAATCCGTTATATCCTAGAGCTCCGTCGTAACCGACAGGACCTGGTTGTCCTCTGGGACCCGGTGGACCTGGTGGTCCTCTAATTGGTGTGCCGATACCTTAAAAAAATTTTTTTGGTCATTGCCTCATGATGGAATTATAGTATTGCCTACCTGGGAATCCCTTTCTCCCTCTGTCACCAGGATCACCACGATCACCGGGTAACCCGTCGAAGCCTCTAGTTCCAGGTATTCCACCAGGGCCTTGAGGTCCCACAACTGTTTCGCCTTTGAGGCCTTTTTCTCCTGCCAGTCCCATCGGGCCGGAGTTTCCTGGTTGGCCAGTTCTTCCGGGAGCGCCTGGTTGACCATCGTCACCCCGTTCTCCCTTTATGGAAATACCTAGGACAAAGAATATTGTGATAATAATACTTTCTTGAACGTAGTTGTATGAAGGTATTTTGTATAGGTTTTAGGTATGTAGATTAGTAAAAGTATGTAGATTAGTAAAGGTCGATGCGCAGTCTCTCTTTGTGTTCATAGAGAATCAGAATCATTGATACTTCATCAATTTTAAGTAGGAAAAATAAAAGATTGTATCTCAAAAATATGATGATTATGAAATGTCCATGGCATTAGATGCTGTGTACTTATTAGATAGAAGAAGTATAAAAAAATGTAGAAGAAATAATGTGCTTAGCAAAGATAAGAATATGTGGATCAGAGCAATGAAAAAAAAAATTGAATCTAAGTACATAAAGTCCGTCGATTTTAATCTGATACTCCAAAGGAATGAGAACTGGTGGCACCCTACATTAGAATGCCAATGGTCACCTGACGGTCACACCTATTTTTGCCATATACTTCACCCCCTCGCTCCTCATACGGAAAGTGTCAGATAAAAATCGACGAACAAAGGGTATAGAGAAAAATAAAACATGGACTGAAGAAACCAAAAGGAGGAGAAATTTCAAATACAAAGTGGGTTTTTGCTTCCAAAGACATAAAGCACGCCTTTGTGGTGAGAGGATTTTTGGAAATCATGAAACACTATATTTACAATAACAAGTTGCTGACATTATAATTTCAGGACGTGATTATGACAAAATTGAAACTTGAGAGGTGTAGTTTGATAAAACATTTCAAAATAAAAGGGAAAGAATATGTGAATTATGATGGAGATGAGGGATAATAATAAGTTAGAAAGGATTTCGAAAAGATTCAATTTTGAAAAACCTATAAGTTCCTGCTTACCTTTAAGTCCAGGCAATCCCATTTGTCCGGGTGGTCCAGGCGGACCCGGTGGTCCAATTGGACCCGATTGTCCCTCATCACCAGGGAGTCCCGATAAACCTTGCAAACCCGGAAAACCAGTCGGACCTTGCCTGCCGATAGCTCCTCCGATAATTTCATCAAGGAACGGGTCGTATAAACCAGGAGGTCCTTCGGGACCTTGTTCGCCAGGAATACCAGGTCTGCCTTCTTCACCCAGCTCACCTTTCGAACCGTCAGATCCGTCAATTCCAGCGTAGCCAGGAGCTCCTTTGTAGCCTTTTTCGCCGGGTTGACCTTTCGGGCCATCTTTGCCTTGTTTGCCTGGCGGACCGTCTTCACCACGGTCACCTTTGTAGCCTGCGGCTCCTTTAAGACCAGAAAGTCCAGCGCGTCCCTTTTCTCCCCAGAAACCCTTGTAGCCCATCGGACCCATTTCTCCTCTCTCTCCTTTCATGCCTCGGACACCTTTTACTAGTTGAATGTTCGGTGTGCCGTCTTCGTGGTGTTCGGAGTCGTCCGCACGTTCACCAGCTGGACCTTGATCACCCGATTCTCCTTTATTACCTTTTGGACCTCTTCGGCTGTCTCCTTGATCACCTGGAGCACCTATTGGACCTTGAGGTCCGACTAAACCCTATAGAAAATTTCATATTTATTTTATAATTAAAGTGAATAAGAGTTTTTACTTGAGCTCCTTGTGGTCCTTGATAGCCAGGTAAACCCGAAGGACCGACGCGTCCGTCCAGTCCAGGTAGCCCGTTGTATCCAGATTCGCCCCAGTCGCCTTTGGTACCAATCGAGTTACCACCACCTTCGCCTGGTTCTCCTCGAGGACCTTGTGGTCCTTCGGGTCCTAGGCCTCCTCGAATACCAGGGTAACCTCTAGTGCCTTGTGCTCCCGGTCTGCCGTCAGTTCCGTTACACCCGTCCAAACCTATCGGACCTTGAGGCCCTATATCTCCAGTTTGACCCGGTCTGCCTGATAAACCGTCTGGACCTCTTTCGCCCGGATCCCCTCTAGCTCCTCTGTCACCACCGATTCCGTAGCCTCCGTCCGATCCTTTTTCTCCTTTACTTCCACTACTACCAGGATATCCAGTGTCACCTGGTGGACCGCGTAGTCCTGGCATACCGGGAATACCTTCCGCTCCACCTCGGCCTTTTATTCCTGTACAATTGCATTTGACTGGCGTGGTACAGCCGGAACACTGCCCCTAGAACAATGAAATAGTATAAAGTCGTACGTTTATTCATAGTGTTGTAATCTTCTGATAAGGATTCATAATAGGTCGATAAATTATTGATTTACGACCGTAAATGCGGTCAAAACAACGCCATTTGGTTTATCTGGTATAACTGCTGCATAGTAAGAAAGCGGCGGCATAATTGCTGTAATTTTTATGGCGATTTAATAAGATAACGCTCTCTCATTAATAATAATTTATGTGGGTTAAAAGGGGACAATATTGGATTGGATCACTAGAATTATTAATATTTGATTGTTTATTCTTTGATTATCTACAAACTTTAAGAATAAATTTAAGTCATTTATTTTAAACAAAGCAGATTTATCAACACAAAAACTCTGATGTCCTCCACAGCCACATGCCGTCAAAATTATCTGATAATTTTCGCATCACCATGCGCTTCCGTGCTAATTGATAAAAATTATAAAATTTGTCAATCAGTTGGCATGATTAAAAATGTCTGCGTCCTTTCAATGAGTACCACCTACGACAGGGTTAATGTGAAAGGATGTGGCGTAATCCACGTGGAGAACATGTTCAACTCTGAAAGTGTTATTACATTTTTATACACGCATATGAGCAAAGTTTTATATTTATTTATTATTTTATCAGTGTTGTATTACAAAGTTATTACAAAACTGTTCTATTTCTTGGATTACTAAATATCTCACAGACATTTACAGGTGAAACGTGTTAGCATCAAAGAAGCAATCAAAGCTGATAAATAGCTGATGCACCTATAGTTATTTCTGTTGAAAGAGAATAAAGAGATACATAAATAACATATATCAATATAAATATTTTATTATTACTTTAGTTTTAGTGTTAAGTTTAGAACGACTCCGACGTTACGTTAATCATATGGTGCAAATGTGAAACTACCTTAACGTTTTTATTTTTTTCACGTATAAGAATAGGGTTAGGGTTGTGCTTTGTCTTGCTATGTTAGTTGTCTGATAGGCCTGGCGTGGTCGGTTGTTTATCATTAACAAATAAACCCATTGGTCTTCAGCCGTTGTTTTTCTTGATTTTAAAAGCCCAAATCATTAATTTCAACAGGCTATGGGCCCAGGCTCGCGATTAAGTTTGTAAAATCGTAAAAACGGGATTTGGTGTTGAAGAAAACCATCTTTTCAGTATCGTGTTACGGTATCAAAAGGTCGGAAAAAACGGACAGTATAGTAGTTTGTGATATTGTTCGTGTGTATAAAACTCGTGCAGGTGGTTGCGTCGAGGAAAACCCAGTTGGGGCGTAAAACCAAAATGGGACACCAGGCAATTCAAGTGGTAAAATTTTATGGTGAAAACTGGACGACTTGGAAGTTCCAAGTGCTAGTAACATTGAAGGCATGTTTTGACATTGTAAGTGGAACCACTATAAGGACACCACACAATGCAGAAGAATATGACAGAAAAGATGCAAAAGCACAAGAAATTATCGTATCGTAGGCTTCATGAGAAGGTAATTAAACATATTCTGTCGTGCAGTACATCAGCAGAAATGTGGACAAAGCTAGAAACTCTATAAGAGCGCAAGTCACAAGTTAGTGTACATTTGCTCCAACAAAAATTCTTCAATTTAGGGTATAAATAAGGTGGCATTGCAGAATTTATATCTTAGGTAGAGGAGAGCATTATAACAAAGGTTTTTGGGTGATTTGAGGCACTTTGTTACAGCATGGGAGTCATCTCCTAATGATAAACAAATACTGACAGAATTAACGTCAAGGTTAATGATTGAAGAGGAGAGAAATAATGGCAAAGAGGAGTCCACAGCACTGGCAAGTAACAGCAAATTTCAAAACAATAAAAAGGCAGCTCATAACCAAGTAAAATGTTTTGAATGCCACAAGTTTGGGCATATTAAACGAAATTGCCTAGTGTTAAAATCAAAGAAAATGTGTACTTATTGTAAAAAAGTTGGCCACTTAGTACAAAATTGTTGGTTTAAGAAAAATAAAGAATCTGCAAACGGAAAACAGGAGAAACAGGACAATACTCAAGTTTTGATGGTAATTTCAAGCATTGTAAAATGAGAGTGCATTGTTTAACCAAGAGCAGTTTAATAATGCTGATGAATAGTGGTTGGACAGTGGAGCAACTGAGCATATGTGCAGTCAAATTGAATGTTTTGAATCAGTGACAAAATTAAAAGAAAGCAGATTAGTCAAAATAGGAAATGGGACACTACTTGAAGTACATGGAGTTGGAATAATTCAAGTGCAAGCATGGAATGGCAGCTCATGGGTGAAAACAATTCTGAACAACGTTTTGTTTGTTCCAAATCTGGCTGTAAACTTATTTTCTCTGAGCACTGTATTGGATCGAGGTATCGAGATGCATTCAAATAAGGATAGGTGTGATTTGTTAGACACAGAAGGTAGAATCATAGCAGTAGCTGTTAGACATGGAAATTTGTATAAAATGCAATTCAGAAGCCAAAGGAAAGTTGAAATTGAAAAGCCAAGGATATCAGAATGTAATTTGGTGGAAAGTCTAACCGAATAAATTGGCCCATATATTAATTTTGAACAAGTGAAAAATGTTTTTAAATGTAGCAGTACCTATACAATTTAAAAATGAAATAAAGCCATTTTGTATACAATGCCTAACTGGAAAGCAACACAGGCTTTCATTTCCGATGAGTGAATCCAGAGCAGGAAAATCAGGAGAGTTAATACATGCTGATTTGTGTGGACTATTTGAAGTAGCCTCTTTAGGAAGAGCAAAATATTTTCTTTTGATAAAGGATGATTTCTCTGGATATAGAGTTCTGACAATGGTTTAGGATTTATAAATAAAGATTTGAAAAACTTATTTGGTACAAAAGGCATTCGGCATGAAAGATCTTGTTCCTACACACTTCAGCAGAATGGACGGGCCAAAAGGGATATGAGAACCATTGTAGAAGCTGCAAGCTACACAGTAAAAATATGAATAAGTTTTTTTTTGGGCACAAGCAGTGACTTGTGCTGTATTTACACTGAATAGAGTAGAAAGTAACTACCAAAAGAATGAGTCACCATTCAGGTTATGGCACAATAAAGATTTTGATTTGACGTTTTTTAAGGAGTTTGGTACAAAAGTCAAAGTACATGTACCCAAAGAGAAAAGACCTAAATTAAATTCTAAAAGTAGAGAAGGTGTGTGTTTGTGGGATATAATAAGGATGTTAAAGGTTATTTAATTTACTTTGAGGACAAAAATAATAGAGACGTTATTTTTAAACCCAAAATTTACCAAGATAAAGTAAATATTACAACTGAAAAAGTTATAAAATTGGCCCTGCAAAATAGTGATGAGAGTGAATCAGAATCAGAAGCAGTTGAAAATAAAAATCAAGAATTGTATGAAACAGAAAACTTACACACCACAAGTGACGAAAACTCCAATAATGATATGGACAATATTCAAGAAATCGAACCAAAAATAGAAGATATTATAAAATCAAGTACCAGACTTAATAAAAGAAAAATTCAGACACCCTTTTGGATGAACGATTATGAGACAAGTTTCGTTTCACAAATTGAGAACCCTATTAGTTTGGAAGAAGCCTTAAATGGAAACAATGCCACCAAATGGAAAGATGCTATGGACAAGGAGCTGCAAGTTTTGAAAGAAAACAACACATGGTCTGAAGCACCATGGCCACATGACAAGAAAGTGATTGAAAGCAAGTAGGACTTTAAAAGGAAAAGTGAAAGTGAATTCAAGGCTCGCTTAGGGGCTCGGGGATTTCAACAAGAAAGTGATGACAACTTTTATGCTCCAGTAGCAAAATTGTCAACCTTCAGGGTGCTACTAGTTGTCAGTCTTAAGTTGGGTAAGCCCATTTTCCAAATGGATGTGAAAAGTGCGTTTTTGTATGGTGAAATCAAGGAAGAAGTTTACATGTGTTTACCTGGTGAGAATAAAATAATAGTAGTAGAGTTTAGTTTGTAAATTAAGCAAGTCTATTTATGATCTTAAAAGATCACCTAAATGTTGGAATTCCAAATTTGGGTGGAGAAATACAAGTGTTTGGGACTAATATTGGACAAAAAGCTGAAATGGAATGATCACGTGGAGTATGTTAGTGATGAGGCGCAGAAAGGTATCAATATTATGAGAGCAATCACAAGAACATGGTGGGGCGCAGACCCAAATATTTTGCTGAATATATATAAAGGACTAGTTAGATCCCACTTTGATTATGGCTGTCAAGCAATGTATCACATGAGTGAGATGAATATGAACAGATTGGATCACATCCAGTACCAAGCCCTGAGAAGGGTGACTGGCTGTATGAAGAGTACACCCATAATGGCTCTGTTATCCGAAGCGGCTGAAATACCACTGGCTAAACGAAGAAATCTTTTTAGTACAAGATTGATGCTCAGGAAAATAGCTTTAAAAGGGGAACAAGAGAACAAGAGGATAATAAACTTCTATGTGTTATAAAACCAGGACCCTCCTTATTGGCGCACCAAGGGCGCTCCGGCGATTATGGAGGGAGCGGATTTTGTGCTTGCCCATATAGAAATATTAGAAATATCGGATAATCTGTCATGTTACGAAGAAGATATGAAAACTCAAATGCGAAAAATAGAATGGTTGATTCAAACATACAAAAGGATAGTCTAGATGCTCAAGTAAAACTGCAGGAAATTTTGGAGGAATATATCGGGTCTTCAAAAAAAAAACCAATCTAAGATTGCTATGGTTTTTTAAACGTATGTCTTAGCAATATTTTTATTTAATTTTCTCAATGAACTTTAATGTCAAAATGATTTGTCAATAATACTGTCCAATAAATAAACAGTAATGCGACGTACGTTTTCGTAATCAAAGCAATCTTCGATTGGTTTTTTTTTGAAGACCCGATATAAATTATCAACATATCTACACAGATGCATCTATGGACCCTATAACAGCACAGTGCGGAATTGGAGTTTTCAATAGGTAACACAAATAAATTTTCAATAATA